GCACATGAATATACTCACTGTGGGCAAGCCATAAAATCGGGGCGACTGTTTACATGAGTGTTATTTGTCTCAGTTAAGTCATAAAAGTGTGCGTATTTGCTTTCGTTTAGTGCGATTGGTGAAAATTTGCGTGTTGCTCAACAAATACCAGAAATCGATGCTACTAACCTCGTCATCGGTCCTGGACTGGTGGATTTTTCGGCAACGAGTCATGCCTTCAGTAGCAGACTCGGGGCTGAGGGAATGGCTGATCCTGCGTTGATTCGTGAAGCAACATCTCGGGCTGTATTATCTGGGGCCACCACCATTGGTGAGTGTATCTAGAGATCTTGTGTCAGAGGACTTACTCACTAACCTTCTAACCCACCAAATCATTCAGCCACAATGAGGCAAATATGATACGTCCAAACATCTTGGGGTGTTTGTTGCGTTACGTTGTGGAAGGGACGAAAATGGCTCCTCACTGTCAATCGCTCATCCAATGTTGGAACTAAGACGCGTCACTACTAACAACGTAAAAAGTAAACGTTGGACAGAGTAATTTTAAGTGAAATAGAATCGATGTAATCCACATAAGCCGTAAGACTGAATCGGGAAAATCTCCAATTGCAGTATGCGGGTTGTGGTTTTGCCAAAGGAAATCGTACCAAATGGGAACTGCTGAATGTTAGAGACCGTTATAACATCAATTGATATTAGTGAACTGGAGAGAAATGTTTTAGTTGTGAATATGAGGAAGGCTCAGTTTATTCAATTTACGAACTTGATATTAGGAAGGCAAACTCTTAATCAGCTTGGTCAAAATTTGTGATAATTACTTCAAGGATGTGGTCTCAAGGATCCTCAACGCATTGCAACATGACATTTCACAAAGACACATAAAGGGAATCTAGGTTTAATTTTTCAGGTCTGCGCCATTAGAAATATTTTGTCACTTATTCGAGAGAATTGATTAATGTGGTTAAAGATTGGTCAGAGGAACTTGAATGTAATTGTTATTGAACCTAACGCAATAAAAAAATTCGCGTGAATGATGGAGAATGCGTGTTCGTGGCGACAAAAGCTATTCGCTGTTGAAAATGAATTCTTGCCGTTTAATGCTTGGTCCCCGAAATTCGTCTTTTGGTCTGCGATTGGATGCCCCATCTCGTATCAGCAGGCCCGTGGGTAGGTGGATTTTCGGCTGGTCATTTTAAAGAAGGCAAACCTTCTTCATATTTTAGGGTCCGATTGTTCAGATCAGTGTGTATGATACTAAATAAAACTTGCATTTCTTAATTATCCATAACTTTAGTCGATACGGTGTACACTGACGACGGTCAATCGCCCCTAAGTGCAATTGCAGCATACCTTCAAGCCCTAAAAACTACATACGTTCACTGCAATGTGGCAGTAAGAGCAGGCATTCGTCATTTAACAATCAGTAGCATCTCCGATATTGAAACACTCGCAAAGCGACACCATGTCAAATCATTTCTGGTAAGTTGATGCTCCGATGTGCCCTTTTCGCATGGTTAAAGTTCCGTCTGCATTCGTTCCATCAATAAAAGCTTCAGTCAATAAGAGTTCTTAATTTAAGAGTGACTAATTTAACTGATTTCAAGCTCTTCAATGGGCTTATTTTCTCCCTACATTTCCATAGCATTCTTGACTTTATTCCCCGTGTTATGGTGGAGACCGTAAGCCGAAAACCCCATTGTCCCAGTTTGCAGCAGTGTAATGCTGAACTTTTTTAAAGCTTGCCATCTCAGAAAATGATCAAATTCTCTGCGAAAACGGAAGCCCAGAAAGTACAGTACTCTACGGCGTTCTGTGCGCTTGCCGCGGGCTTGGGATCTTACCCACAATTGGTCTCGACAAAATAACTGGATCATGGATTCCCCAATCAGAAGGCGTGAGTTTGGTTGTTGTGTTAATGAGTGGTGTTCATCCTGAGGCACTGTTGCCTATGTACTCCACCTACCTAACAGAAGTGGTGGGATTTTTCTTGATGGCCCATTCGAGATGTTGGGTCCACTATCATTAAATGCATGACATCGCGTTGTATTTCTAATGATTCCGCCCGTGGAGAGTGCGAACGCACATTGTCCATGATCCTTTAGTTAAAATCGACAAGTCCGATGATGTGAAATGCTGAAGAACTACGTATTAAATAGGCAAATCGAAGACTTCAATTTAGACTGCTTGGAACCGCTTGTTGTCTGTTCACCGGAATTTTAACCGACTGGGCATTGTTTTTGGACTCTTAGATCTTTCATCTAATTTGGTGTGTTCAACGATATTAGTAACAGGTGCATTTCCTTTTGTAAGGATCCTGAATTGCGCCTAGCTTCAATCGCCATTAAAATTGCCAAGCTTGCTGGATGCCCAATCATTTTATCCCCGGTACGGTGCACGTCGGTCATGCACAAAATCTATACTTCACAACATGACAACCAGCCACTCTTTATTTACGCTGATGTAGCAGCTGAGGCCTTCCATCAAGCCGTAAGTTGCGACAAAGTCACGCCTTCTTTGAAATCGCATGCCTAATTCTTTTAAAATTTATGGATTCATCGGCGGTACCATGAGCAGCATACTCAAAACAGAAATGAAGAGTTCATTCTGGTTTATGACTTACTAAAGTTTGTAAGAACGTATAAGTTGGAACAGATCAACGAAAGCGATTCACTGAGAAGCTTGCACATGCGAGGCTGCATTATTAGACAGAAGCAGAAGTTAAATGTGCAAAAGATGCTTGAAGAAATAGTTTTACTGCCAAATGCGGCAATATACCACATTAAACGGACTAACAAATGCGATGCATGCAAAGCAACCTCTACCCACGTAGAAGAAGTGTCCCAAGAAACTTAATGATGTAGAGCGTATTGGTGCAATGTGGCTAAGAAGATTAAACTGACATCCATTGACGCAATCCACAAAGTCACGTTTGGCCTAAGTTAACGTTAAGCAAAGATATAATGATCAGGAAAATCCGGTGTGAAGTTTGTGAATGCTCCGCAACCCGACGCACGGATCGTTTAAATCTCATGGTCTTCTTAAACTAAATGTTGCAGTTTTTAGGATGCAAACACCGCATCAATTTTAAAAAAAAAAAATTGAAGAAGAAGTATTCTTAACGTGGAATTATATCGAGGGAAACAGTAAAGCCACTGCACATTTAATACTAGCGAACGGAATTCTCTGTAGGATTTGTCGGGACAGACTTGTTAGGTATCAAATTCACATGAAATCATAAAAGCGGTAGAGTAACAGCTATCTAGAGCGGACCAGTTACCACGAAACTTTGGAAGAAAGGTTGCACTGTGATGTTCTTCAAGGTATCCAAGATAAATGATCCTACAAGGCTAAAATGCATATAAAGATACATCAATGTTAGCACTTACCACTCTTCACCTCAATACAGTAAGCGATTAACACACAGAATGTACTGTAATTCAAAAGCAATTACACTGCTTAAATGAATTCAATCGATAAGCAGCAGTAGTAGGACTAGTAGTGCAGGTGTTGACAAATTGATCTAATCACCTATCTCTTAGCAGTGCTTGCTCACACAGAATGCGCTGTGATACTCGTGTGTTGATTGAATCTCATCCCCTTTCAGGATGCCCTGCATGGCTTGGCACCGTACATCGGTGCTGACAAAAATGTCGTACTCTCCAGTGGCGAATCGTTCATTTTGCCAAATCAGCCAAACCCACCCGGTGGCTCATGGACACAGCAGATCTATCAGAACATTGTGGTGCGTCCTTTTGAATTGAATGAGAATGTCAGTTGAGGGCATACGATTGTAGTGACGTCCTGAAAAGGTATTAAGTGTGAAATTTCCGTGGCGCTGAAACAGGCCCCAAGTGTCTTTGAAAGAGTAGCGTGCAATGCACAGGAGACCGGATTCGTCAGATCGTAGCTTACGCACTGCCAGTTGCTATGACCTAGTCACCTCACAGCCGCACGACAAACAAAAAAAGTGACCGATTAGAAGTTTGCTTTTCGTTCCGTAGAAATGTGGCTGGGCTAATGACCGCCACGTAACTGAAGCAAGCAGCAAACGGCCGGCTCAACTAGCAGGACTCTACCCTCACAAGGGCCACCTAACAATCGGTGCAGACGCAGATTTGGTGTTGTGGCCAGAAAACGACCGAAATAAACCCGTTTTCACAGTGGTTGGTGGCAGAATCGCTGTGCAGTATAGCCAGCTGCGCAATTCAACGCCGCGAGATCGCGAGAACGGCAACGCTATCAAGGCTGGCTACATTGTGTCCGAACAAGGCCCATGTGATTCCCTGACCGCCATCCAAGACATGGTAGGTAGTTTTAGGTAGTTGTGGGGATTTGAATTGTTCAGGATTTTTTCAATTACCTGCTCATGTGACGTGCACATTTTCTTAAAGTTCAGTCATCAAGTCGTGACAAACAAGCAGCCTTCGGTATTTGCAAAAAAAATCGCAACGTACATGCGATCTTGTCAGATTATGCAGCAGAGTTCATGCTCCGTTTGACATATTTAGCTAATTGTTCTGAAATCTGCGTGCTAATACGTGACTATTCCGTCAACGTGGTTTCTGTGAATTTGTGTCATGCACCGGAATACCGCGTTGGTATTATGAAAGCGCAGACAACCTAAATAAACGATTGTTCAAGTTGCCAATTTGAAGGAAATACCCGCTTACTAGACTGGTTGCCTTGCAGAGATAATCACACCGAGGTCGGTCACGTCGAAATCAGCAAACGCAGCTCGGAATACTCGCTAAATCCCATGTTTGTTAGCACACTGTTGTACAACGTACGCTCCGACCTGTTATCGCAAGCTTGACACAGTGAATCCGTGCAGTACGGAGCACTGCGCAACAAGTGAGCAAAATCCAAGTGATGCTCGGTAAGCGCGCCACATCGACAAAACAACAACGAGAGTAGATGCAAATATCGCGGTCAATGCACCACTCTTATGTTCTCGCTTTCAATTTAGACGTTAGCTTAACCCGCACATATCAAAGACTCATGTTGTCATGGGTTGCTGTGGCTAATAAATGTAGGAAATAACAAGTTCATGTAATTCTGATTTGCCTTAGAGCAAAAGTGGGTGTTTCGTCTCAAACCAAGTGAATTTCTTTGACGGTTTATTGAAAGTTTTGGGAAATCCAATGTTGATGAAATTTTAAAGTTGATGTGTGGTATCAACTATTAGGCCTAAATGAGACATTGTTGGAGTGGGGCGATGCGAATAAGCGAGTGCGCCAACTAAGCCGAAATGCCAGATTCACAAGATAACCAGCATTTTGAGACACTAGCGCAATCGGTTTGTCGCCTACCTAAACTCGTATTAGTCACACGTGGTGTCACGTGAGCGGTTTGCATCGGACATCGAAATCCTGGCCGATTTTTCACGGTTCCAATATGACTGCAGTTTTCTGGCTAAGAAATCTCACAGCGGTGTGTGTATTTGAAGATTAAGGAACTGGGAAAAGCTCTTCAAACGACACTGTCTGCTCCACCCTCCACACCACCACAGCCACCACCCGCACCACCTTCGGAAAAGGCGATCAACAAGGCAGAGAATGACAGACTCGGTCCCTCAGGCGACGTCGCTGCGGCCGGCTTGCCGACCAGAGACCTGCGCTCCATTGCAAGCCAATACAAACGAGATTCACTCGCATCCACTTTCAAGCTCACGGGTATGTGAAAATGCCATGGCATTGCAATGCCCCACGCTGAACCCCGTCAAGTCTGCCACCGATGCCATCCACGGTGATAACCAAGACACCGATAATGTCGGATTTGATAAGCTTTGAAATACTCGCGGAAGGAGTGTTTTTTTGTGGTTGATACAATTGCTGTATAGATGAGATTGTCTTTGGTTAAATCTTTTTCTAATCACCACAGAATTATCTAAACTCACATTTGTGCTCCAAATCATTTAATTCGAACACTCACGATGCTTTGCGGAAGTGGTCGGGTAGAGTTTTTGGGTATTTGCTTCATATGTATTTTTGGAACTGTTAGTCACTGCTATTGAATGCTTATCAGTTACGAAGGAACCTTGGCAGACGACACACTCTAATGCGTTTTTTAAAAGGGCACCCCTGTGTCGTTATCCGGGGTCCGTTTTGATCCTTGCGGTTGCCTCAAACCATGTGACTACTGCGGGTGATCGATTGAGTTCAAGTCGCGCATTCGTGTTTGAAAGTAATCCAACTGTTTGAACAAATTTATTCGATATGTAGTAGTGCAGGTGTTGGCTAATTTATAAAACCACGCGTCTCTTAGTAGTGCCAGTTGATAAAATGGCCAGCGGCATCTGGCGAAAGGGCAGAGGTCCCGGTCAGTAATGCCGCATTGTTTCACCAACAGTCAGCTGACCACCCAAGCCTTTTGAAAAAGAATCAGACCTTTCGGTTGCTAGCACGGTGTTTCGGTGATCTCGTGATGAATTCGCGAGTTTTATGAACCTGAGAAACATTAAAATCGTAACAACCAGAAAATTTATTTAATTTAGGTTTTTTTTTCGAACTCCTTTGCCTACCTTTCGTAACCTTTTCTCAAGTTCACAAATCCAGAAATGCTTGAAATACAACGCTATTTTGATTTTTCTCCCTCAATTGCGTAACCAAATCTTTATTTTTGTTCTAACGCAATATCCTGCGTACAGTCGCTTGAGCACAGTTCTCTCTCTGAAATGGTCTCACGCTTTAACAGAGTTTCACTAATCGCCGAAGTTTACTCCGGGTTCTGAGGAAGTGACCCATCTGAAAAATCGGATCAATAATGTTTTACGAGAACACGACAACCTTGAAACACATGCACTCTCGTTGTTTTGCGTATCCTCAGTTATTTACGGTGATTCCTTTCGTGCAACTCGGTACTTTTAGTCATTCCATTGCTTATCTCTTCCTGCTTCAAGACCTACAGTTGGCACGCACACTATACTCCACGACAGTGAGCTCTGTTCATGTCTGGTAACTTCTTCCCTTATTTTTACCTTTTTAGGCCTGCCCAAATAACTAGTGAATAGATTGTCCACTGTCTCCCGGACTCTATCACCCAGTTTACGCACCTTCTCCCCTATTCGTCTTGTAACCGTGACCCGAATAAAGTCTTCCAGATGTGTTATCTCTCCTTCTCGCACTTATTTCCTGGTGGTTGCCTGGATTGCTTGTCTCGCACTGAATCGTCATTAGTTCACCTCCCCTCTTAGGTCGGAGCCTTGCTCGCGCGTTACACAGTTAAATTAAGAGTCAATCAGTATTGATGGTGCAACACAAGATGAACTTCCGCAGTGAATCCAGAGATAGGCTGCAAGGTTTTACAATTCCATTGTCCTGGACTCACTATTTGGCAATCTTCATAACAGCAGAGCGTTTTTAATTGTCAAATGAACTCTACTTTTGAGTCCCCAAGATGTTCCATGTTTGTGGTAGGATATTTTAGCCACAATTTTACTCGAAATTACTTTGGTCATATGGTAAGACGCCAGTAACTGCCTTCGTAAAATACACACGTAATTTATCACTGCATTTAGTTCAATTTACTCTATTCCGACATTCACGGCCTTGGACTGAAACCGTACAAATTCTCCCATTGGAAAGATGGTGTTTTGGTTTCCGGCAAACATAACCTCACAAACGACGCATGCAGTACAAAACTAACAGTACCTGAAATATCCTACAGAGAAACTCCCTTACGAGGCATATCAAGATCCGAAAGATAACACCAACTGCTAACGCTGGGCGATTGACGCACAAACTCAAACGATGTCCACACTAGGCAATGACGCGAGCTGAACCCTTAAACCAACTCACCATGGGCTATTCAAAGGTGTTCAAATTTAAGGTCATCAGGTAAGAAGCCAGCAATGTAGGATAAACAATCTGACTCAGACAAAAACCCATCGTTATAACTTCCATAGATTATTATCGAGCAAACCGGTCTGGCGGTTTCCTTGCCCGACCCCAAGGCCGGCTGTTCGCACTATGTGACACACGATGTCAAACAACTGCACCAGCACCCAAAGCCCGCATCTACTTGGAATTCATGTGTTGGATATCTCATCCCATTTGCGCTATTCTGCTTCACCACACACCAATGCCTAGTGGGTTGCTGAAGGGAAGCATGTTTTTCGGTCCAGCTTCGTGCGGTATTTGGCTGACGAATAAACTGGCAAAAACAGCTAATTGTTGATGACTCATCCATTAGTGCCAAAGCATGTGGGTTAGTTTGAAAACACGACGGCTGAAGCTTCCACGCCTTCTGGGCAAGGCCCAATTGAGTATCTAACACCGACGGCTACACCAAGACGCTCCGAAACACTGCACCGGCTTACTTGGAACACACAAAACCTAACCAGCTCGTCACCCAAACATCTAGAAGTTTTTTTTTTCGTTGAGCACCGACTTCTAAGTCAATATACGGGAAACCACTGGTTTAAGTCATTTTAGGGAGGAATTATTCGAAAGATACTCAAATGTACATATTATGCGAGTCTAATGACCTCAATGGTTGGCAAATCTGGCGGACCGCCTCTGCTAAGGTCTTGTAATTGCCTTGACAATGTCGTATAAGTTGAGATTGCCCAATCAAGCGGACGGTGAAGTGCGTGTACCACTGACGAGCTCTGTCACTGATTTCAAATGACTGTTGCTACGTTCGATCTAATGCGATTCATTGTGAAAATCAGGTAAAGCGAACTGCAGCATAGAAGCCACCTCCTAGGAATATTTCGGGAGACGAATCTACCCACCTAGATCAGCATAGCCAACTTTTTCCTGAACAAAGCAAATAACAAACACATTTTGGTCAAAAAACAGAACCCATAAGCACTCACGTGAGACATAACAGGCTTGTCGAATAAACCTCACCTCAAGAGCTTTAACTAACAAGCGATAACGAATGTACACCTCGATTAAGACAGAACACAGCCTCAGGCAAGACCCGTTTATTTAAAAATTGTTTTTGAGTAGTGCTAAGGAAAGGCGTACACAATGATAAAAGTATGCAAAGTAGCGTTCAAAAGGCCGTATACAAAATCAACATGAGTTTAAATGCAGTCTAAATGCTGCCAAAATAAGTAACTATTGCGATGGAATGGTCCCCACGTTGTCATACTCGGGACTGTGGCCTCTAACTCGCCTCGTCGGGACATCCCTCAGTGGACTCTGTATCACTCAAAGAGGACAGCGAGTTAATGCTACTTAGCAGCTCCGGCGGCACAGTTTCGTCCTCATAGGTTACCGCTTCAGTGACCTCTAAAATCCGCCTGATATCTCTCTCATCGTCGAACTCGACCTCCTCCAGGGTTGTGTCTTCGAGGGGGTCTGCAGAGTCGGGGATGCTGCGGGTTGCCTCGCGCCATCGGCACCAGCGACCACTCAGAGACTGGCCGTCCGCGTGGCTCTCGTCCTCTTCACTGTCAGAGCTTGGTGGTGGGGACCTAGGCGTAGGAGGGCACTTTGGCAGGGTTTGCTCGAGATGTGCATTTATCATTAGACCATTCGTAGCCTTCAAGAGTTTCGGTGGAGAGCAAACGTTGTCAGGCTCAGATGGGATACTAATAGTAAGACATTCAGTTGGTGAAGGGGCCTTATTTGCTGACACAGGGGAGGTGGGAGTGTTCAAAGCAGGATGTGAGTAGACAATGGGAAGAGGAGTTGGATCTGCCGAATTCAGCTTTCTTCCGTCTTCATCACCGACATTAACAGAAGTTGCAAGTGCTGTCGAAGTTTGACGTAGAGTGTTTGAGCTTGGCCATGCAGAGTTGACCACAAGCGACTCAGGCGTACCTCTATGTTTAACCTACGAAAAAATCAATTCTCAAAATTTATTTGGTTCTGGGGAAAAGGCGAATGGGTTTGCATAAAAATAGTTCCGCCAAACTCTGAGACCGATGGATACACAGTTAGACAGATAATACCATGTCTTATAGAAAGATGCAGACTTGATCACGAAGCCCCAGTAAGGTTTTAACTATGCACCCCAGAAGTCCCACGCATTACCAATTAAGCGGTTGAATACACAAGCTCTTACGACTGCAATGAAAACACCAGGTGATTTTTTGTGGCAATCGTTCACGTAGTTTTTTAGTCCGCAACACTAGTAAAATTGAATAAAGTCTCTGATGAATGCATATAGCATTCAGCAATTTATAGAGCAGACCATTCATTGGAAAATGACGAAGTTAATGATTTCGAAAAAAATGAACGCAACATAGATTAGATGACAAGCTTACATTGCATATCTCACGCATCGATTGATGCAACATTATTCAGTTGAAGCTTAACCTAACTAAAAGTGTAAACTCTTGCCTTTTCTACGCCCATAACGGTGCGTCGCCTAGCAGTTCTCCTCTGTCGCCCGCGCAACGATGGGGTATATGTGGCTGCACAGGAGATGGTCGTCGTAGAATCTGTAGCAACACCGGATTCACTTGACGCCTCTGAGATAGCCACAATGGAAGGGGCAGCAACGAATGGTGTGTGCGACCTCGTGGGCTGTGTGTAACGACGGCTGGTGGTCCTCGGGCCGAAAGTTGGCAGTGTCAAACGCGCATCGCCTGCCAAAGCTGCGGCACGTTGTCGCGTCATGGGTCCGTTAGTACAACCTTCTTGACTTTTTGTAGCCATTAGTACAGAAGATGATGACACAACCGTGGGGATGAAGGAATGGCGACTGGGCATGAATGAACGAGCAGTTGAGTCTCGACCGACCGATCGCAGGCTGCTTCGACTGTTAATAGGGGGTGCAGTAACACCACGTGTTGAAGACATAGTAAAACTGTGAGAAGCCAAAGATGAGGAGTGTGGATAGTCTCGAATGGTTGTAGTCAGAGAGGCAGTAAAGAAGGGCATTCGTAAAGCTTCGGTGGCCGAAATCCTCTTATGGGGATTGAAAGTGAGCATGCGCTATGAAAGAGAATCACGAGAAATATTTGTCAGGAAGCGGAATTTGAAGACACAAACGAACCACATTGGGCTATATTAATGCTTACTTCAATAAGGTCGAGCGCCGCCATATCAGTAGTTTTTACTTTTGACCGAAGTACATTCTTCTCTCCTAGTTGTCTAAAATCATTTTTCAGAATATATGAAACACGAGGCCAGTCATGTGATGATGGGAACCCTAGAATACTACAAAAATATTTGAAAATACAAAACATCTTACTCGAAAATTTTTTTCAAAACCATTAATTCGGTTTTCCCGCTGAATATGGCTTTTAAATTGAATAGTTCAACAATAATACATCCGGCAGCCCAGATATCACAGGGCGAGAGATATTCTGACTGGATAAGGATCTCGGGAGACCGATACCAGAGGGTTACTACGATCGGCGTTAACTGCGATTCCCATCCGAGCACTCTTGATAATCCAAAGTCTGTTATTTTAAGGTGTGTGCCGGCTTCATTGATAAGGATGTTAGCCGGTTTCAGATCCCGATGGACTATTCGTTGTGAGTGAAGAAATTCAATGCCTTTAACAAGTTGAGCGGAAAGATTCTAACAAGGGCATTCAAAATTGCGAGAAATTCCTACCCGAATGGTGTTGAGAGAAAGACCGGTTTGAGGCACATTAGAAAGAAAGTGGGCTAGATCGCAGTCCACAAATTCAAACACAATAAAAATACATGTTTGAAGATCCTGACGGCGAAGCGTTATATCTAACATCCTACAGTGATTGTTAACAGCTATGAAATGGGCAAACATACTGTACTAGGTAGGGTGATTTGGCTACCTGAACTTTCTTAAGAACAGCCAGTTCACGGAGTGTGCTCAGTGGTACACCTTGGTCATCTGCAGGGATAGTGACCTCCTTGAGAGCAACAATTTCGCCTTCTTCGGAAAAGCCTTTGTATACACGCCCATAAGCACCAGAACCCAATAACTCAGAAGGCTGGTATCGATTATCGAATGGCAAATTCTCATAGACCGACTGATACAACCCTAAATTAGGCTTTGTACTAGCCATGGAAAGTGCCTGTAATAATAAAAAAAGGTCTTAGACGTGTGACAATTTTTTGGTTCATTATTGACATTAATCACTTTATGATAGACAAGAAATATGATTATCGACCCAAATGTTGGATCGGTGGAGTGAATTAGGAAATTCGTGTAAAATCAAGAATTCGTGCACTCAAAATATGACAGGTGAGCACCATTCGAGGCTTCCGTTACCATTGAAAGACAATGTAAACCCAAATTATCGAACAACATTAAAGGTTTACTTCTGGCTCTATAGGAAATCACTATAAGCTGGTAAACCAACCAGAGCTTACCGATTTGGGGCTTTGATAAAATACATTTACAGACAAAAATAAATACGTAACAATTCTACACAAACACCCGGAATGAATGGCATTCCAAATTACAACTGCCATGCGGAATCAACAGCCATCATTGTCATAATAAAAAGCGCATGCACAATGTTACTTAAGTAACAGGTGATAACTCCAGCAAACTTCAAATGACAATGAGCACATTGACTTACCAACGACCTCCACAGACAGCAGACTTCCAAGTGCCCGCCAATAAATATGAGCTTGTACAACAAACATACACGAACTCGTGAACCCAGAACAAAAAAACAAATTTTGTTTGCACAAATTGGATCATGCACGCCTAAAAAATTTACGCTTTACTTTTAAATTGCGAATAAAGAAAAATAAAAGAAATATAAATATTACTCTACAAAATCAATTATTTACGAAATAAATTTTCGAAATTTCCTACAGTCATGCTAATTTCTCAACAAGTGTATTTTCACAAAATTAGGTTCTAAACCTTTTAATCTTGGCATAATATCACTAATTGCTATATCTCATGACTCCGATTTAAACTAATGAAAATTCATATTCAGAACAACGTTCGTTAGAAATATGCTGAAGAAATTTAACCATCATTCCCTAAATTACATTAAAATAGACATAGAAAAATTTTCAATACTCTATTTAAATGCACCCTTTCAGTTTAAAACACAAGTCTTAGATATATTGCATTTTTGTCGGTGCATGGTATTGGCATTATTGACATCAAAATGCCCTGCTAGATGATACTTTTGTACAAAAAATGCTTTTGACTACAAGCAGTTCAACAATTAACAAAATTTTAGGATTAATTTGCGTCTACATGTCCATTTTCTGAACTTCTAAACTGGTCCGCAATTTTAAAATAACTTCTTTATGCTCTCAGTTGTTGAATCTTACTTTCCAAATTAGACAAAACAGAATAGTTTCATAAAAATACGTGCACGAAACCAAACAAAAAAATTGAGCTGTAGTTTATAAAATCCGGACACCACAATTGCTAATAAGTGAATAAATACATCAATCTTTAGCGATTAGGAATAGTCGTATATTTAATGGACAAGATGAATGAACTAATCTGGAATTCTATGTTTAGGTGCAAAACAGAAAAATGCTAAACAAAATGTTTTTATGCTTTACCCAAAGGATGACATACGCAGTTATTTGCAAGAACTCAATGGATCCTGTGATTTATT